AATTTTACTTATATACCAATAGAAGAATAAAATATTTATCAAATAAAAACAAAAAATAACTCATTCAAGTAAACATAAAAAATAATATATTATATACTTGTATTGAAATTATGATTATTAATTTATTTTAAACAATAAAAGTTGATTTTTATTAGTATTTGGAGTACAGAATGTATTCTACAACTCTAACGATCATATCACTTCCAAATATATATGTATACATATGGTTATTCCAAATTAACCACAATGATCGTACATATGCAAATCATTCTACTTCCTAGTTCCCACCCTTTTCTCACCCTCTTTTTTATCCTACCTCACCTTTTTATTTAAACTACCCAAAACTCTTAGATTTACCCAAAATTTTACAAGGAGATTCAAATTCTGAAATTACCACATGCGAGTGGGTTCCGACTTGCTTTCTGGTGTCCTCAAGCTAAAATAACCATGAAAAACCCTCCCGAAATTTAATAGTGTAAAAAATTACAATAATCCACGAGAACCAAAGTTGAGAGGTTAGTTATCGATTTAGAACTTACCTTAAACTACGAGTTTGGAATTCACAAATTGTTGCTGTGGTAAAGTAATTGGAGCCTAAGAAATCACCAAGGTGCAAAGATAGGATGGGGTAGCGATTGAATTTCAATTTTCTCTTTCAATCCAATTGTTGGTGTTCTTGCTTTCTATTGCTTCATCGTGATTTGAAGAGAATGGTTCCTTTTCAATCCAATTGGTGTGTGTGTGTGTGTGTTTTTTTTTCAATCATTGGTTTTGTTCATAGTTTTAAGTGTGCTTTCAACTATAGTAGTTCTTTTTTTTTTTTTTCCCAATTTTGCTTTTCTCATGAATTTGTAGTTGGTTTTTTTGAAGCCAACATAAGATTCTGTTTTTTTTTTTTTTTTTTCAAAAGGTTAACAACGGTAATGTACTATAGTTATGATTTTTGAAAATTTATAGCTATAGGTGGCTTCTATACCTACAATTGATTTTTACTGTAGGTATAAATTTTCCTTTTATATCTACATTAAGTCATTTTCGTAAGTAGAGTCATATTGTTCCTACAATTCTTTAAAATACATAGGTATATTTAAATCATATATACACAACTAAGTAAATCGTAGGTATAGATAACTATACCCACAAAATTGTGAGTGTAAGTAAAAAAATAGTGTAGGCA